GAGAGAGAGAGAGAGAGAGAGAGGGGGGAGAGAGAGAGGGAGAGGATTCTTTTAAGACCAAAAGAAAAATGTTCTAAGCACAATATTCTTAAAGTTAGAAAAATCTTATCGTTCATCTACAGTACAGTAAGTCTTGTTCTTAATAAAAAAAAGGATATTAAATTATAGTTGAAGCCAAAAATAACTATAATTTCCGTTAGATTAACTGTTTTTTCTTTCAGTATAGAAGAGAATAAAATATGAGATCACAGAAAATGTAGCGTTTTATAACTGGAATTTTTTCTCTTTTTTCTCAAGTATCTCGTGTTTTCGAACGTTGTCGAAAATTCGCGCCAGTCTCTACACGTCACACAACTTCCCGTAATCTTAGATTCACCTATTTGCTATTCACACCTATTTGCCACCAAATGGACTACCGACACCGGAAAAGTACAAAAAGAAAGAGAGGGAGAGTGAAAGAGAGAAAAAACCGCGTTAAATTTCACCCCGCTGCGCTTTCAATTCGCGCACTTGGATTCGCTTCCGCGCGTTATCCCTCTCCCTCTCCCTCCTCCCCCTCGTCCTTTCTCTCTCGCTTTTTTGCGCGCTCGCCGGCGCGCCATATTTCGCGATTAACGTAAAATGTATGAAAGTGCCGCGCGACCTGGCGCTATAACACGCATCCGGCGGAACGTGTCGGCCCGTTCTGCCATTCGGAGAATCGCGACCGCCGGGATTGCCTCGATTTTCGAAGAGTCACGAGCGGCCGGCCGCTCGTAAATACGGCGATTCCACTTTTTTTCGGCCCTCCACCGTCCCTCCACACCCCTCCCGCCCTCGCGGCACCTGTCCAACCTTCCCGACTGGCCGCGACCGACCGACCGACCGACCGACGTCGAGTGGAGAACGCGTGGATATGAATCACGGGGCCGTAAAGTGATATCGAATGGAACGGAGACTCCGGATGCATACGTGCGCGACTACGGGGCCGCCGAGCGTGCACGACCGGCGACCATTAAAACGAGTGGCTCGTGCCGCAAATTGCTGAAATGACACTCGGCGCGCCCGCCGCAAGGCTCGGCCTCGACGCTAATTCGCCCTTTCGCCCGCTCTTTCGCGGTTCCGTCACCGCCTCGCGCCTCGAGGTACGCGAGCGAGCGCAGAACATCTCCCCCGCGGCGTGACGTGTACACACACGACCCCGAGTTTTTCCTCCCGCGTTCGTTAAAACCGCATGCGAGCGGGTCTTGTGAGAGTTCCTCCCGCCTCCCCCCACCCGTTAATCGCGTTAATTGCGCGTCGGGGATGTAAAAAGGACGCGTAAACGCTGGACGAGTTGTATTAGGTGCGGCACGGACGATGACACAGTCGCGGATTGCTCGCGATTATTAGCGTGAAAATGGCGAGACATGTACATGCGCGATATCGGCTCTTGTCGCGATGAAGATCGACCATGCGTGTGTCTGTTGCGTATCGTCTACATACACGGTGAGCAACACACCACTCTATTAGCATGACCAAATTTTCCGTCGCTCGAGAGAAACTGTGAGCAGGCGGAAAACTCGGTTGCAGGAGCGGAAAGGTTCTTGTAGCAGGTTTCCGTGTAAATTGTTTTCAGTTAGCTCAACCAAAGCCCATGTTAAGGGGCTGTATTACGTATACATCCTTTTCAAAAATAATGAAAATATATTTTGAAAAAATTAAGAATTCTAAAATGTGTCTAAAAATTACCATGAACATTTTGATACCGACTCAGAGCCTAAATCAAAAGTTATTCCACTCCGAAGTATAAATTCAGCAAACATGATGACGTCATGTGAAGTTTTAATAACGCATTAATGACGTTATGTGAAGTTTTAATAAGGCATTAATGACGTCTCTAACATCATTAATCACTTGATATCATCTTGTTGCTTAAGAGTATTTCAAACTGTGTTGTTAAAAAATTATATGATATCGTTATCTTTAGTGAAGGAAAAAATAATTTAAAAAACAATGTCAAAAATCTCAATTTTTGTATACATGTAAAAGGGGAGAGTTGTTAAAATCGTATTAATCCCCTAAATCGTACCTCATTAATTTCTTCATTATTATTAAATATAAATGACATCTAGAGGTAAAACTGATAAATAAATGAGCAATGAAAGATATAAACAAAAAAATTTTGGTTTATATCTCACTTTGTTACAAACATTTAAAAACATCTGATACGATTGATGAAGTATGATTCAGGAGACCGATTTCCGTACGATTTCGGTAAATCTCCCCTACTTTAAGTATTCAAAATGATGCAGTTATAGTCTTATTATAGTTCAGAGACAAAAGTTAAAAAAAAGTTAAAAAAATCAGAAATAATGCAAAATAAACTATACGCTCGCGTTTTTTTGCATAAAACATAGAAATATTAACGTATTTCTAATTTTCAGTTACTTTTTGCAAGGACTATACGAGCAATGCACTCTCAACAGTCGTTATTTGAAATTTATCTCGCGCAACTTTAGATACTCAAATCTAAGTTTAAAGTTAAATCTGAGTTCTTCATGTTGAATCGCGTGATACACATGACATATTTGCAATCGCGATTCCACCGAAAAACTCACATCCAACTCCAAACTCAAATAAGAGTATCTCACCTGAGGCGAGTTTCAAGTAACAACTATTAATACATGTCCAAGTTCTGAAGCGGTCGAACGTTCCGACGAATGTTTTCGCTCGCAGTGGCAGAAGTGTCATGTCTCATTGTCGAATTTTCGTCTGGTCACCGCTCGGTTACACAAAGTGAGACTTTTTTCCGCAAACACGAAACCTCATTTACTCCGAAATGAAGGAGAGAATATCGTCGAGTTCTTAATGACAGCAGTTGTGGGTGAAGGACTGGAGAAGAGTCTGCTCTACTCAACTTGTGTCTACTCTTCGTTATTTATCTCTACGTTATTCTTATCCCTTTGTACGTTGGTTTCGGGAAAGCCCGATTTCCTATTGTCGTCGAAACAGTAACAACGAGTTCTCTTAACAGCTCTACTGCTCCCTCGAGTTTGGCTTTTCTTCTCGTTGTGTTTCGTCTCGTATTTCTTCCTTTTTCCCTCCCTCCCTTTCTCTCTTTCTCTCTCTTTTTGACACTACATGTCTGATCCCCGTTTTCATCGGCGGTCGCGAAGCATCGATGCGCGAGCGGCGCCGACAGCGTGTAGTAATGGTCCGGTTTCACAGATTCTCTCTGTCAACTCTTTTTCCACGCACTCGCCAGCTTTCGTTTGCTCTCAGAAAATACCGCGCCGAGCGCGCAATTGTAATGGGACCTGTTAACGAGCATCGCCATAGGAGGGAAAATTTTCATGTTTACCGCCACGCGGAAATGTACGTGCGAGTTTAGATTGAATGGAAAAAGTAATGGGAGGCGGGGGTGAGGGTAGGAGAAGCACGGGGATGAGGAGGCAAGCATTTTAACGCTCTCGCAAATAGTGCTTGTGCGGAGTTAGGGTGACACAGCATGATGAAGGAGAAAAAATTGCTCGTAAGAAGCAGATTGTTCCATTAATAAACCAGATATAATTAAAATTACTTCGTAAATGACGTATGTCGAAATATACATAATATATAGCGAATGCGTACGCATTACAGGCCATTTACAATGAAATTAGCAATAGGTAATAAGACACATAAGCAATAAGCAAATTGACTAACCACAATCGACTATTCTTGTAATAATGGATTGTGATTGGTCAATTTGCTTATTGCTTACGTATTACTGTCCATTGCCAATTTCATTACAGATGGCCCTTTAAGCTCAGTCGTCAAATTCACTCCCCAGGCGTTTTAGTAATTTGACCAAATAATTTTGATTATATCTAAACTATCTATGTGTGCAGATAAAAATTTGTTCAGTTACGTTTCTTGAAACGCTTTTGTAGATTAATTTTACAGTGTGACGTAAAAGTCTATTAATAAAAGTTATTAATAACCATTAATAATACATATAATATCTTAATAAATTTGTATAGAATAGAAAAAATTCATGAAATAGAAAAAAATTTATAAAATTCCCTTTTACTTTAATGTGATAAGAAATTCGGACGGATTGTTTGTTGGGACAAATCCGCAGTCAAGTATGCATCAAAGTGAGCTGAAGCGAATTGAAGCCAAATCATCTCTGTGCAGAAATATTTTTTTATTATTTTGTACATGCGCTCAAATATAAGAGAAAATCGCCAATTTTGTACACTTTTGCTTGGATTTTATCAAATACTGAAGTTTGCATGCGGGAATTTCTTAATTATTTATTAAATAGTTATGAATTATTACTTATTATTTATTTATCTTTAAAATTGCCATAACCCTTATTTTTATCCTAATCCTTACTCTTTGAAGTATAACTTTTTCGTATATGTCCAAGAGAGTAGATTGGTAAAAAATGTGAGACTCCCTCCGCTGCGCCACTATACTGGCTTCCCGGATTGTAAGGGTTAATATTTGATCAAGTCCGCGCGAGAGTGCCGAGAATAGGCCGAGTGGCTACATAGAGAATAATATTGTAGTAAAAATGACAACAGAATTTCTGCAATCTTGCACTGCACAGAATCGCCATACTAAATAACTATATATATATTTGTCTACAAAAATATGTCATGTACATTTGACTTTTTACTACAAAATTATTGTGTTCTTGTTTGAATATTTTTTATATCATATATAGTCGGCAGATCTTGAAATTGACCGTTTTTATAGTGACTTATGCGACAATTTCGCTTCAATCCGGCTTTGCAAGAAATATCGTGAGGAGAAATACAAAATTTTAACGTAATTTTCACCGCAATAATATTACCCCCGTGCCACCGGACATTTTCCCTTATCTCCTTATAAACCTCAAGCGACAGAGGAGCGCGCGAATTTATAGAGATCCGAGGCGGCTCTATTCCCGCATTTAATTGCTCTAATGCTGATCTATTTAATCCCCAGACTCGGCACGTCGCGTATTTCACGAGTTCCTCTCAGTTTCGAGACCGAGCAGCGATCCTACGTACCTAAGAGCTTCATGACCTGCGACTGGCTGATGAATATATTGAGATAGCCATCGCTGCAGCCGATGAGCACGAGAAGGACGAAGAACTTGCGGCGCAGGAGATCGCAAGGACCACCACACCACCGCATCGTGTCACATGCTCCGTACGTGCGCGCACCACTGTTTCCGTGTTACCCGCACCCCGATATACTACTCCAGCAGCCGCGCGAGCAAGTCCCCGATCTCAAACTCGCGTCTCCGGGAGTCGCGGGACAATCATATCGCAGCTCTTGGCACCGACGATCGCTCGCACGTGGCCGCTCCCGCCGACGTGCCCTGCCATTCGTCTCTCTCGCGTCAGTCTTCCCGAGATAACCAGTCCTCTTCGGCTTCACTGCGGCCGCGGCGATGCAACGCGCTTCGCGATCATCGCCGCGGGGAAAGTTCGCTCCAACCACCCCGAGGAACACCGGCTCGCCGTCAACGCGTCCTAGCCGCGTCCTGGCGTCGCCGCCGATCGAGCTGTCATGATGCAGCGTGCTCTGTCATACGACCGGACGATCACATGGCACGGGTGCGCGAGGGTGAGACGAGGGCGGCGTTCGGAAGCGAGGTAGGCGACGTCATCGTGTCGCCGACGTCGGTGCTCGACTGAAGGCGAGCGGGCGTTCGCCGTTTTCGAGTCGCGACGCGACCCGCGCTTGCGCCTATGCAACAGCCGTCTATACCCACGTCCGACGTATTATGCACGTACGTGTGACGAATTGCTCGCAAAAACATCGGCCACGGGCGTGCGTACGCATCGGGGATCGCGCTGAGGTGCGAGGTTACATCGTCGAAAATAGACAGCCGGACGAGCGCCACGGAAATGGCCAAAGAATATGCGCCGTCGCGCCGAGCTGTCTCCAGCACGGCCCGTGCATACATGCGATCGTCGTGAAACGTTACTTTCGATCGAGAAATCGCGGGCAGACGCGTGTAATAAATGCCGGCGCGCACGTGGACGCCGAGAGAGAGAGAGAGAGAGAGAGAGAGAGAGAGAGAGAGAGAGAGAGAAGGAAATTCGCGAGATCGTTGAACGATCACCGCCGGCGACGAGATCCGTCGGATGGCCAAGACTAATATCGGCGGATGCACCCTTTGTGATTGCGGCGAGCATTGTTGCAATAATTGGCGTGCACGTGCACAGCCAATGAGTACGCGACCGTCGTTGAAAATAGGCCAACCGTGATGATATCTCCATGGAAACGTCTCTCCACTGAGGACTTCACGAGCGACGCGTTTATAATATGCGCGCCCTTGTCGCGCGCCTATGAATCGCGCTACGAGACACGGCATTAGAGCGTGTATGTGGCGCCAGGGTCGAGGGGGAGGGAGGAATAGAACAATAAATCTTTTGTGCAAACAACACCCATTTTAAATGCGTAATCCTTTGTGTGTGCAGCAGAATGGCCGCGCAAAGTGGTTAATCCCGCAATGGTCGGCGCTCGTTCGCCGTTGTTCGAAGTAGAATCATTTTAGACATTAATTGGCAAAATGATCGTTCGAATCGCCGCTCTCTGTGCACCCAGCATGACAAAGCGCGTTCCGTGACAATTGCATCGCAACATAGGAAATCGGCACGGAAGGGATTCCTCTAAGCCGATGCAACGCGCGCGCGTCCTCGTATTTATAGGACGCGTAATTTATTCAAGATGCGCGGAGAGGTAAAAACAACAATGACAGCAATTCACCTCGTACTCTCACACGCAACACAGATAAATTTGAAATGAAATTTCTGTGTAGATACACGAGAGAGAGAAAGAGAGAGAGAGAGAAAGAGAGAGAGAAAGAACGACATATTTCCACGAGGCGCATTCTGCGCGCGAAACGTGGACAGGTGGGACTCGTGCGATATAATTTCGAAATAATACGGGGCAACCTTTGTCGGCCGTAATTCCATCGGACTCGTTATTGACGCAGCGGCGACAGTGCCGATTAACGGCCGCGACTCGAACGCGGCGCGCACAACGACGAAATTGACGTTCAGCGTCCAATAACATCAAAAACTTTCAATCCACTTCTGGCCGTGAAATTCCGCCGCGATGGCGCCCGCCACCCCCGTTGCCGCGATACCCAGCTCGCGCGGCCTCGTCAGAACGCAATATCGTCGCTGACGAGCTTTGGCTGCCGACACGCGGTGAGCGGAGGGAACGTAACGACGAAAGAAATTATTTCGCGCGACCCTCCGCGCGCCCAGGGCACCGATTTCTCTTCCTGTATGTGATCCTGGAGGTCAGAGATATCGGCTCGCGCGCGCACGATCGACGCCGCTCGAGAGCGTCCTCTGCGAAAGCGTTAGAATTTAATTAAATCGGTCTCTCCGGCCACCCCTGTCATGCCCGAGTCCACTTCCTTTCCATCCCCTGCGCCCCTTGCTCACCCTCTCTCTCTCCTTCTATCCCCCCCTCACTTTCTCTCTCTCTCTCACTCACTCGCCTTGCTCTCTCCCCCCGCCGTGGCGAGTCGCGAGCGGTGCGGACAGTTCTCGCAGCCTGGCGACTCACAATTTGATCTTCGTAAGTGTAACTTTCAAAGGGCGGGTCACGCTCTGTGCCCTACGTGTACGAGAGAAACGGCGCTTTAATTATACCACGGGATTAATTAACTCTCCGTCGAACTCTCTCGGTGGGACGCACACCCAGGCGCGGGACACTCGCTCCCACCGATCGCAAATAATTAAAGACCCGTTTTTCGTTCCTTCACGTCGAATTGCGGGGAGCGTCAAACCTCCGACGCAACAGACATCGGCGCGGCTGCGAAGCGATCCCGTATCGACGGCTCGTCGACGCGACGACGTTGACGTTCGACATGGAAGCGAAATGCCTTCGATCCGCGAGATCGACGCGCGAAGAGAGCTGCACGACAACGTAGGCTGCTCCATGTATACGGCGGTTTACGAACTGCGCTGTAACTTGTGCGTTCTTGATCGAAATCGAGCAGAAAATATGAGAGAGACAAATGTATCTTCTTATTTCGTGTAAATACACGGAAAAGTAGTAAATAATTTTAAAATATAAAATAGAAAACTTTTTAAAAGAAATTAACTGCCTCTAAAATCGCTCTGGAAACCGCTCTGGAAACCGCTACTTATCTAACTTGTCTTCCTAACATTAGCTTCTAATATCATTAAAATATTAAGATAGGATTATAAGTACATAGAAATATTGATTCATAATTATTTCGTATGTTTTAGGATTCTCGAGGGCGATTTTTTTTAATTTTTTATTTTGTACTTCTTAATTATTCACTGAAAGTTTATTTCTGAAGTCGGTTAAAAAACAAGATTTTTTTCTGAAGTAAAATAGAAATAAATATTTTGTACTGTATCTCTCAGATGTTCTCGCATTTTCAAGAAAGTAATGAAATCGCCCAATTTTCGGGCCACATGGGGAATAAACCCGAGTAATGACACTAATCTAAAAAGAAATCATACATCTTTAACGGTTCTCGAGTTATGAGGGAGCAAACAAACGAACAAACATACGTGCAGGACAAACACAGAGAACCTTATTTTCTGGAGGTCGGTAAAAAATGTTTGCCCGAATTGACGTAACAGTAGAAGAACCAAATGCGTTTCAGTTGAAGGAGACAGAATTTTTGTTGTCAAAGCTGAAGTTAGTTCATAAGAACAAAAATTGTTTTCTTCAACTGAAACTCGTTCGATTCGTTTATTCGTCACGGTAGTTTGGTCAAATCTTTTTCCCCATATCTGTATCTGTATATCTGTATCTCATATGTGTATCTCATATGTGTATCTAACTAAACGTGTCTGTCTTGTTTATCAAAATATTGTATAACTATAACTATGAGAGAGAAACAGAGGAAGCTGTTATGAACTTTCTATATAACTCGAGAACAGGTTTTATCTGGATCGAATATTCATCCGATATTTTTCAGCATAATATTCTGCTGCTTCGCTTCATTACGAAACCCGCGTGTTGTTTAATGCAATTCAACTTATCGCAGGTGGTTCCATTCCGGCCGATTGCAGGCACAAAAGCACCACTCTCCGCTATCGCCGAAAAGTGAATCGACGCCGACTCGCCAGGGTATAGTTTGAGCTTTCGTGCGCGGAAGCACGCAAGAGTATGGCGTATGTGCGTATATGAATTGGACGGCACACAAACTTAGTGTACACACGTACGAAAGTTATACGAATATACCTAAAGCTAAGAGTGGATCTAGTCGAATCCATTAAATATTTGAGCGAGCGAAAGAGGCTAGGGAAGCACACTCGCGGAGGAAGTCTCCCCTCGGCTCTTAAGATCCATATGGTAGCCCAACTCTCTCGTCCCCTCCCCCATCTCCCTCTCTCTCTCTCTCTCTCTCTGTCTCTCTCTCTCTCTCTCATGTCTCTCTTTCTCTCACGTCTCTCTCTCCCCTCTTCCTCTTTCTCTCTCTCACACATTTTCATTCTCTTTCTCTTACTTTTCCTCTTTGTCTCTGTATTAATATTTACATTTATATTTCTTCCTTTCGTCGTCCCTCTTATTTTAACTTAATGCCACCAGGGATTTCAGCGTCCTAGACTAAATTATTATGGTTCTCACAATTCAACGCATTTCAAGCAACTATATTTCGGATTAGGTGCCGCTTAATAAGCGACGCATACCTTGTTGCCCGCTTCTCTCTCTCTCTCTCTCTCTCTCTCTCTCTCTCTCTCTCTCTTTCTAAGTATTTTTTTTTTAGTCAGTTCAGTTAGTTTATTTCAAGCGGCTTTGCGACTGCAAAAAATTAACTTTTTTCATTTATTTGCACAATTTTCCAATACTCCATCTATCTTGTGCATCTAGCGTGTCCATCTATCTTGTAATTACACTTTGCATTTTCCTATTGCGTTTTGTTACACGTTTGCAAGATGCAAAGCTCTGTAATTGATAACATAGAACGTTCGTTTGAACAGTGATTAATCTTACCGAAATTGGTGTTTCTGGCAATAAATCGATAACGCGCTCTAACACACGTCATTGTGTCTACTGTAGCGATAACCGAGAGTACTGAATCCTCAACTGAGCATCTTTAATCGAAATAAGATAGAAAATCCTTTTAAAAAAATACTCAATCGGTATGTAGTGTGAAGTATATTATAATATATATAGTATATTAAAATACACTAGCATAAAAAGTATATACTAATATAAAATATATTATATTGCATAAAATTCGCAAATGATTAGCGGTAAATTTATTTTCATTAATGGGCACGTAAGATACACATCAAAATTAACGAGTGCAACATCTGACCAGCGGAAGTGTATAGCGCGAAATTAACGAGGTCCTCGAGACGGATCCTTCCAATCAGCTGGATCGACCAGCCCGATAATTAACAACGATCGAAAATCAATCATGTCGTTAACACGTGGAGGATACATGCAAATCATGTTCAGCGAACGTTCTATCATAGCAATACATGGCAAGATATGGCATTGCCGTAATATGAATTGTTGAAACACTTTAGAAATTCCCCGCACTTTTCGTACCGGACTTTTCTTCGCGGACTTAAGAATTCGTAAGTAACGAAACAATCACGTGCAGACTCGCACGACCAACAAAAAGAAAGTAATCAATGACCAAGGGAAAGCACGCGAGCAAACT